TGAGCTATATGAGGTTCGTATTTCTCTCCTTTCAATCATGTGAAACCTCACCTTTGTTCCCAATTTGATATTACTCATTCAGGCAGTCGAAGCATTTTTAAATGCACAGAAGCAGAATGATATTCGCAAAAGCGCCCTCGATGAAATGGAGCTGCAAGTTCTCCATGATATCCATAGGTTTCTACATGTATTTTATTGCATCTAGCAGCTTCTCTCGTACGAGAAGACACTAACCCTCCCACTCTCAATACCCATGTACGAGAGCTTACTAGAGGCATTGCGTGCTCTGCATAGTAAGCTCTGTACTCTCTAGCACGCAATCAATGTGTCAATTGGCTGGCTGCACAAATATTTGAGCATTGCACGGAAAAGTAAAGCATATGCTCTCACAATGGGTGAGCGCCATATTTTTTATTAATGGAAAATTTGTCATACTAAGCCTTTTTTTCAGTTTTACACCCTGGCTTCAAATTTACCTGGATAGACAAGCACTGGACAGCCAAGGAAGCCGCGGATGCCCAGCGCTGGCTTCGGGAAGTGGTGCATAGATTCTCTTGTTGCACACACACATTAAACTTACTTCTGGGTGTATTACTTATAGATGCTTGAATATCGGCGAGGGATTTATTCTCCACAGTCCAATCTGCCCTCCAGCAGCCTGTCTCCACCACCATCTCAGAGTTTCACAGCTTGCTCACAGGCTCACGGTGTAGGCCACATCCGCGCACTGCTCCGAGAACTCTCCGATGAGTCTGTAAGCACTCTGGCTACAGCTCAAAGGAGCAGCACACAGCCCGAGGCGGCCACCATCGAGCCAGATGTCGATGATAGTCACATTCTGGAGGCAGATTATGCCCATGCCGTTGAGGAAGAGGCAACCTGGTACAAAAAGAAGGGTGTTCTCCCTGACACCGAAACAGGGCCAGACTTTGATATCTGTTGCACCTGGCAGGTACATCACTGCAGTGTGTTATCTTACTGTTACTCACTACATCACAGGTCAATCAATATCGCTTTCCTCTGATCTATCGCATTGCACTGGATATCCTGCCCATACAAGCTTCTGCTGTCCCGTGCGAGCGCATCTTCTCATCGAGCAAGGAGATGGACACTCTCCGAAGGACTAATATGTCCTCCGAAGTGATGGAAAGGCTTCAAATTCTGAAGCATCTGTATCTGCAGCAGCACGGTGAGAAGCTAAATTTTTCGCACGGCAGGCTAGCTTCCGAGGGCGATCTGGCACCAGCAGTCTCAGTAAAACAGATTGATAAAATGGTCGCAGACGGCCATGTGGACGAGCTAGAGAGGCTAATTAATGAGACTGAGTCCTAATCATTTCCTAATACATCTGTTACGCTGTTTTCACTTGAGTCTCCCCAGTCCCCGTCTGCTCTGTGTTCAGTTGCCTACCGTATATAGTGTCTTTGTCAGCTTTCCCACAACCCGCTGGATTATCTGGCAGCCAACTCATCATTATCCGCCACGTGCAGATAATGCCGGATTTTGGACCAGTCCAACTTGTGGCTCATCCGCGGCAACACTACTGACTACCCCCTGTTATGTCAGGACTGAACTTCGCTTTTTAAAGTCTGCCAGGCGGTCTGCCTGGAGTATTCCGGGTGAGCTAGAATGGCTGGGAACGAGACTAGGGATAAGTACGGGGTATCTACATGTAGGCAACTCTCTGCAAGGGGATCTCAACCTCTGAAAGCTCCCATTACAATTCTCTAATAGTGGGTGGAGAGTCTGGAATCGAGACTAACCCCGGACCCCATCGACGCTTAAGGGTCTGCAAGCTCAACGAGTGTCTTTGGGTTCGCTGTAGGCACCGCGTTGTCTGTGGCCTCAGAATGTCTCGAAGAGAGGTACCTCTCTTCGAGACGTTCTATGGATAAGATAACAATGACGATGATGACTGCCATAGCCTCACATTTATATGTATCTATGTAGACTTAAATCTGTTATATTTTTGCCCTACTGTATTTTGATTCGCGGTGCCGCATCAGTGCCAGTGCTGCAGGCCCTCTACAAGGTCGAGTATCGGGTGTTGATTGGCGCAGTGGCCTGGTGAGCCTCCTAGCCCCTTGACTGGTTCTGACATACACAATGGCTGACATATGTTCAAGCCACCCCTGTCCGTGCATCAGCAAAACCTCATCCCATGTTGGGCATATTGGCCAAGACGCTCAAGATGCCTAACAACCAACATGGTGATGTTGCGTAACCTATGTCGTATCCTTACCCAACATCGTTGAGATTGTCCAACATCATCAACATGCACCTAACATCAATAACATATTATGTAACCTTACCCAAATACTGAACGAAGTCTTGCCAACACGCCATGTTCACATCAGATTTCAAGAAATAAACACTTGGCATTGGTATATACATGTACACTGAGCACAGACAAAGGTATGTGATTGTCAGGAACTACCGAGGTGGAAAATGGTCCCACTAGCAGCAGTGGGGTGGACAGCTGACCGCGTGCTTTCTGCTTCCGTGACAGCGACCCAACCATCCACACCCTCGTGGTGAGTCAACGTTGTCAACAGCATCAGCCCCATTCTCAGGTGTAAACCTCCTGATAATATCTCAAGATGCGCAGTTTGGACAATGTTGACAGAGTCACACCCCTTGATGTAGCACTTGCCACCACTCCTGTTCTCGGCAGAGAACCATCGGCTCGACCTCAAAACTACGCAGAGGCCCTGGTCGACCACACTTGTAGTGCACGCACCACCTGGAACGCCAAAGGATATAGTTAGAAGCAGGACTCACAAGCAGAAAAGGACAAGACACCAGCAAGATCTAAGGGAACTAGAGCGCCAATAGGCAGATCATCCTCTCAGCCTTTGTTGAGAATGCCCACATCACCAATAGCAAGAGTGTGGTGCAGGGTCGCAGCCTTAAATGTAGCATATATGACACACCTGATTATCTGTCTTTCTTTGACCACATCAAGGGTGGGCATTGTCTGTACTTTAGCGGAGAAGTCAGCCAACGTTCCGGAGCGGTTGGCTCGACAATTTCATGATTACTTGTCACATACCTGCTGAAGTAGTTCCACAATGACAGGCTCCTCTCCTGCAGATCTGGCTGCCACTCCTGCAGCTTCTCTCTCACTCAGTTTGCATAAATCTTGCCATCGTAGGGCTTGTCCACACACAACTTCTCCAAGTATTTCAGCTGAGGCTGTAGCTTAGGATTAAGACTGTGACCGTGTCGAGGTACTACCTGACATTGATTATCTCTATGTTCACCACATCAGTGAGTGAAGGAAGTAAGAGATGAGCCAGGACTGATGCTGTAACACAGAGGGAGGCAAGAAGAGTGGTGGTTGTGGTTGGAAGAGTGGGAAACTTCAAACTTCTCATGTATCAACAGCTACAGGCGAGGCCGGGTTCAGGCACCTGACAGGCGTCTATCGAGAAGCTGTCATGACATCAGACTCACCAGCTGTTGATCAACATCAACACATGTCTAACATTTCCGTGCAACTACAACATTGTTTTGTAACATGTAACATCCCCCAACATGGGGTGTGATTTTGCTGATGTGAGGGCCACACAGAAGTTTTGGCCACCGGTGGTCAAAGGCTGCTTATGCTACTTGTATGCATCCTTGTTATATTTAAACAAAAAGCTAGGGCTTTATAAGCCTACGAATTGACCTCTAACAAGTCAGGGCAGCGGGAGTAAGGCTCCAACGTTTTGTTTGTTTACTGTGTATAAATGTTTATTACCGTTTACTGTTTCTGTGTGTGTAAAAAAGTCTCGTAAACTCAGTGTAAACGTTTATACACAGTAAACAAACAGTTTCTTCTTGTCAACTGTAGAAGGTCCTAGTGTTATACATTTGCAGCCTTGCTGACAGGTTTGACCTGTGGTGAGCTGAAGAGTGTGCCTCACCACCCACCCCCGAGGCACGGCGGCCGCATCAAGCACCAGCTGTGCTGTGGCTGCCATGCATATAGTCGTGACTCACTCCAGAGATACAATAGCAGTCATGCCAATAATACCCATGCTGAGCATAGTCCAGAGGCGAGTGTCACAGATATTGAAATACCATGTATGTGTTGACTCCTCCACTACATCCAGTCTACTATAGACAACGTGAAGCCAGCCGGCAAGAGTGGTGACTGTGGTGTTATCGGCGCAGCACGCTGCGAGCCCAGGTTTTGTTCAAGAGGGAGGAAGACTAGTTCTATCTTACTCATAGGTGGCATGCCGCAAGGGATAAGTGATGATTGACCCTGGAAAAGACATGCTACCAAAGTCTGCACTCATGCAGCAGCCTTCCCTAGGTCACTTCTCAAAGCCTAACACAAGTATACATCATACCACCTCAAGAGTACCAAGCTGAGATTTGCACCAGTCGCTGGCCCACTACCTGATGGCGACGATGGGACGCGCCGACCTCCTGAAGCAATCTCGCATGCTTTCTACGAAGCTAGCTCCACAGACACCTCCGTCTGCCCTCGGGTACTATGCTACCTCGCGATGCTACCCTCGCTGAACAGAACTTTTCACGCGCCTGCAACCCTTTGCCATGCTGGGCCCGTCGAGGATATTGCTGTGATATCTTAATTCTTGGGTGGGAAGTCGCAGCTTCATCTTCTCGTGCATTGAGCGAGCGCCTCTGCATGCATCGCGGCCGCGCCGCTCTGGCATCAGCTTTTGTGCCCCCCCCCCTTTCAGGCTCAAACCAGCACAGAAGGTATTTCTGAGTTTTATCAGTATTCTGGCGCGATCAAACAAATACCTGTGCCAACTGTTTGTTTACTGTTTTTAAACTGTTTACTGTGTGTTTATGGAAAAGAATTACACGTAAACTAAACGGTTGGAGCCTTAAGCGGGAGGAATCGTACAAAGAAAAGAAAAAAACACGACGTTATTCCCATTAGCCGACTCGAACGACTGACCTCGTCATTACTAGTGACGCGCTCTACCAACTGAGCTAAACGGGACTTACAGACATGGACGCAAGGTATATGACAACATCGCTACAACATTTGTAGTAGTCATTTTCGATAGTCACGCCGATCGTATATACAGTTCATCATACTGTAGGTGAGGGTCAACTAGATGGGGAACGCAGTGTATGAACTCTAAGGCTCAATTGCGGGCTATAGAAGTATGCGGACAAGCTAAACGGTGATCAACTAAGCCACCTTGGGATGCACTAGATGCTAACCATGCATCATTTACGCGCTGGTATTCAGCCACTTCTTCCACCCGCTGTCGTTCCATCCCTTCTCAAACTCCTCGTTGGAGAAGCGCTGCACCGCCCAAGTGCGTGCGCGCAGACGGAGTTCGAGCTCTTCGTCGGGACTCATCCTAAAGATGGTATGAAAATGATCGGCATATTCGTCCGGGGACGTAGCGTGGAAGCCTAGTAGACGTTCAGCGAGGCGTAACTCAGACGAAGCCGGCTTGCGAAACGCACCTGTGGGCTTGCCGTTGAAGGGCACAACAATGTCGTTGAGCGGGCCGCCAGAGGCGTGGGTCACTGGTATGACGCCTGCTGCCATGAACTCGACGATGTTGATGCCGAAATGTTCGTCGACCATCGTGCTCAGACCGATGCTGGAGCGAGATAGCCATCGGAGCATCTCCGGGTAAGGCGCGTTGACGACGAACTCCACGTACTCCTGCCGCGACCATTAAGGCTGGCGGAACACAGACAGACACAACGAACAGGACGCACCTCGATCTTGAGTTCCTTCGCGAAGTCGCGCAACCCGTCGACGCGAGCGGCATCCTCGGCATTGCGGCTTCCACCAATGAGCACGAGCTTGACACCTCGCGCCTTGTACTCGGGATGCTTGCGCACGAAAGTCTCGAACGCACGCAGCTGCGCCTTGTGGTCTTTCTCCGGCCTGAACTGCGCGATGCTCAGGACGACCGGTTCCCGTGCTTCCAGCGCGAACGTCGCCATCTCGCGGGTGTCGCAGGGCGGATAGACAATCTTCGCCTCCCTTGGAGGCTGATGGCTGGGTTGCAGATAAAGGCGCAGGAGCGCAAAAGGACTGAAGAGGTGCACAAAGTCGAGCAGCGTGTCGTTGTGCTGCAGGATTGAATCGACGTGGCCCTTGGTCCAGGATGAGTTGGCCATGAGGAAGGACGCGCGCCGCAACGATTGGGCGTAGTAGTACATGAAGATGCGATAGTATAGAAGCTTGCCTTGGCTGAGGAGAGACGAGGACGAGATGGCGTCCGAGTTCGTGTGCCCGGCCTTGCGGGATTTGACTCGAGCGAGCATGTTGGTGCTGATCGTTGGATAGTGCACGTATGCGCCTACGGGGATACCGCCGAGGAGGATTGCGACGTGGAATGTGAATGCGTAGCCCATCGTGTCTGTACAGAACAGCTCAAGCTACGTCGTGCATTGAGTACCAAGAGTTACTTACCGATAAAGAGATCTGGAATTATTGCGTTCATTGCTTCCCAAGCAAGCACCATTGATCCAAGACTTTGTCCGAGCAACGTGAAACGCGGCCATGTTGCATCTTCCACGAGATGTCTCTTCCGAAGCCAGACGAAGTGGAGGGTGTCCGGGGAGAGAACAATGTCAAACCTAGACTGCGAGAGGACGCACATTGAGGAGTCGGAAGATGCATGAAATTCAGAGACTCACTTTGACCTTCTGGATAATCTCCTGTTTAGAGGCGTCGACGTCTCCGCTGTAGACGATACTGATCACGTCGGGTTCGGTACGTTGCATGGACGCGATGGCAGTCCATAGTACGCGTTCACCACCGCCTCCTGCATTACTTCCAGGCTTCGTAAGATCAGGAACAAGAGATTGTGCAAGGTACGGCCGTGTAGCACTCACCAGTACGGATGGAAGAAACCGACAACGCGCTTGTCTCCGCTCGTGCCTAGTTCCTTGAACACGGATTCTCTCCTCTGATTGCTTCGTGTTCTTATATTGAGGACGTAGCGTCGTAGCAGTAGCAGTGAAGCAGCTGCCGCGAACACGGCCAGTAGTGCCAACATCGTTTCGAATGGCGAGCACTGCGCCGAAATCGAAATCGGACAGCGGTCCACGTCATTTCGTAGCAAGCGCTCTAAAACGGCGTCAGGACCCCCGATCCTAAGTCACACGAGGCAATTTTTCTCTCATCGCGCGCCGCGCGGAGGGTGGTCAATTTCACGGTTAACGTTAACTTCGCGCACTGTACCCTGAAATCTCGCTGTCCCTATTTATCGCATTCTAATTGGTAATCTCCTTTCTGCCCATATATGTTGGACGACAACATTCATAGGAGCAAGCGGTTTGTGGTATACGGGGTCTTAACGATAGGGGCGCTTGCATTGGCGTCAGATCTCACCCGAGCTCGAACAAGGATGTGCCCGCCGGACCTTTTGCTCTCCCGAAGCGCGATGACAGTGAAGTTTTTCAAGACCATATGGAGTGCAGAGGCTCGTCTTATGAGCCGGGGGTCAGGAGGGTTTCTGAGGCTTTCCGTGTCGGTACGCTCGTCGCTTTGTGTTCCAATTTTGACACCGCTTGATCACGGCTCGTGCCTAGGCGCAATCCTAGGACCGATAAACGAACGTCATCCGCAGAACGCCCCAAGACCATCACGGGAAAAGCATCAGAACCGCCGCAAGGATGCAGTTGACGTTCTCCGGCCATAGGCGCGCCCGACTGCCCACGGGGTAAAATAATCTTGATGCGGGGACGTATAAAGCTTGAATGCGGAGGCATGTGGGGTGTCCGTCGCCCCGGCTGTGATCCTTCTTCCCCACAAAAGGACCCCGTTAGGCTCAACGATGAAGACCATGCACGCGAACGTCGCAGCGGCCGCGCTTTGGCTCGCCCAGAGTGCGCGCGCGGTGCCTCAAGCTGTCT